CAGATCAAGGAATTTTTCACAGTATGTCTGATAATATTTTTTCTTCTGGAGAAAGTCTTATCAATATTATTAGCCCCCTTAAGCAATATTTTTTTTCTGATAGTCTACAGAACAAATCATTGTTATACAGTGACTTGCCTAATTACCCTAGCCTGCCTAGTTAAGCCTTTAAATGTCACATAAACTGTATAGAAGTGTCTTGAAAACTATCTAGTAAAATATTATTTACTGTCATCATGGCAAAGATAAAATAAATCAGTTATTAGAAATGAGATTTTAAAACTATTATGTTCAGAAATGTGTTGAAAAAAATCTTATTTTCTTTAAACAGAAATAAAAAGAAAAAATAGACTGGGGTGCTAATAATTCATTCAGTCTTCAACTGTATATAGATGCAGCCTATACTACTGTACCACAACATAACTTGTGTTTGCCGCTGTTTTGAAGCCAGGGTGAATGAAACTAATCCTGTTTTACCTCCACACAAGTGGCACGGCACTGTTTACAGATAGCCAGCATAGTTTTCGTCAATGAAAAACATGCATTGTGCCCAAACGTATTGTTCACAGCTGCTTTGGTACAGTGGTTTGAATGAAGCCAAAATGCTCAAAATAAAGCTGCTCTGTTGGCGCGTGGCAGACTGATGCCATTCATCAGATTACAGCAAGCAATTCCTGCCGTTTAGGAAAAGCGGCATGGTCATGTGACAGCCAGAAAGGACAGTCGTTATGTTGTGGTTGTTAATTATAGCCGCCTGACCCGGGTTCAACTAGGGATGCACAATATGTCAACATAAATCGTATTGACAAAATAAAGTCTGTCGTTTTATATTATTTCGTGGTGTCGCAAAATACATTTGAATGAGCAATTTGGATGGCATGATGGCTCAGTGGGTAGCACTGTCGCCTCACAGCAAGAAGGTTGCTGGTTCGAGTCCCGACTGGGTCAGTTGGCATTTCTGTGGGTTTCCTCCGGGTCCTTCGATTTCCCACACAGTCCAAAGACAGTGTATGAGTGTGTGAATGAGTGTATGAGTGTTTCCCAGTACTGGGTTGCAGGTGAAAGGGCATCCGCTGCTTAAAACATATGCTGGAATAGTTAGCGGTTCATTCCACTGTGGTGACTCCTGATAAATAAGACACTAAGCTGGAAAAGGGAAAATGAATGAATGAATTTGGAGACAGGATGAAACATAAATAGCAAAATGGTGAAAAAGATGCAAGCTTGATTTAAAAAAAAAAGTGTTTTATATTTCATTAATATTTATTCTCTTTTTTACTTTGTTAATTGACATTCGGCCATGAGTTTTACAGAAGGTGAGAAAAATAATCCTATATTAATGAGTACATATTTGAGAATGTACTTTAAAATGTCAAAAATGAAATGGTCCATTGCATGTGGTCAGTATTAAATTATTAAATATATCGTCATATATAGTCAAAATTATAAGTCCTCCTGTGAAATATTTATTTATTTATTTATTTATTTATTTTTTATTAGAATATGCAAAAATCATACAAATACAAGAAAACGTCAACAAATAACAAATACAAAGCAACGAAACAAAAACAAAACAAAAACAACAACAATATAGTCATGTACTGGTATGTGCGTGAGTGTGTGTGTGTGAGTGTGTGTATGTATGTAAAGGTAGCTTGGTGGACAGGTCAGAGTACATACATAAGGAACAATAACAGTCAATAAATGAAGCAAGTGTCACAGATATAGACAAAACATATAGAAAGAAACCAGTCAGAGGTAGGGAATAACAACAATGCTTATTAATGTATGATAGTAAAAATTAGAGTAAAAAGAAAGAAAGGACAACAGTAATAACTGACAACAATAATAATAAATCACAAGTGCTACACAAACTACTACTACAAAAAGTTACTTATATTACAACTACTACTGCTTCTACTACAGCCACAACCACGACTACTACTACTACTACTACTACAATGTCTACTAATACTGATACTACTACAACGACTACCACTACTGATACTACTATAGCGTTTGCTACAACTAATACAACAACGTCTACTGCTACTACTACTACTACTACTATTACCACTACTACTACTACTACAATCACTTCTACTACATCTACATCAACAACATCTACTACTGATATTACTACACCAACAACGACTACTACTACTACTGTAACTACCACACCATTACTACTTCTGCTACTACTTACATGAACTACTACTTCAAAAATCTCCGTAACAATTACTCAATAACAATCGATACTATTACACTGTCTACTACTTCAACTACAACTACTACTACTACTACTACTACTACAACTACTACCGCTACAACTACAACAACTGCAACCTTAATAATGATAATGGTATAAATACTTGTAATAATGATAATGGAAAGATAACAGGACAAGTCAGAACAGTAATAATAATAATAATAATGATTTCAAAAAATAAAAGTAATATTAGTAAGAAATATTTATTCTTTATATTTATTTATTTCAAATATTTGTCAAGTGATATGTAATGGAGCAAGTGATTTTTCACAGTATTTTCTATAATATTTTTTCTTCTGGAGAAAGTCTGATTTGTTTTAATTCAGTTAGAATAAAAGCAGTTTTTAATTTTTTAATCCCATTTTAAGGTCAATATTGTTAGCCCCCTTAATCAATATTTTGTTTTGATTGTCTACAGAACAAACTATCGTTATGTAATGACTTGCCTAATTACCCCAACTTGCCTAATTAACCTAGTTAAGCCTTTAAATGTCCCTTTAAGCTGAACACTGGTATCTTAAACAATATCTGGTCAAATATTATGCACTGTGTCATCGCAAAGATAAAAGACATCAGTTATTAGAAATGAGTTATTAAAACTATTATGTTTAGAAATGTGTTGAATTTCTGTTAAACACTATACAGGGGGCTAATAACTCTGAATTCAACTGCATAGTGTTATCATTTGTCAGTCATATGGTTCAACTGTAAACACAGACCGCTCAAGCATTTACATCTCCAACTTCTCTCCATTTCTTCATTTAGTTATGGAGATGAGGACAATTTGCTTTCAGTAGTTTTTCTTAAAACAGTTAAACAGTCAATCGGCACCTGCTCAGAGTGGAGTTTGTTTTCAGTTTGTCCACCATTGATGCTGTTTGTTCATTAGTCATTTCAGGAATTTCAGAAATGCACTAGTGGGTTGCAAAGGCCAGTGCGGTGAATTGTGGGATGCACTGCCACAAGCACAAAGCTTTTTAACTCATGCCAATTTATGATATGTCCCATCGTGATTGCGTTTCAGTGTCGAATTGCAGTTCTTTATGAAAATAAAACTGGTTTAAATTTTGGCTACACAATATATTGTTTTAGCATCGATATTGCAGTGTGTTAATTTAATTTGTGTATCTGAATACTCCCAGACTCCAAAAAACAAAAACAATAAAGCACTTTTTACTAGAGCTGCTCGATTTTGGGAAAAATCATAATCACGATTATTTTGATCATAATTGTAATCACGATTATTCAAAACGTTTATCAGCTAAAGTCAAAATTATTAGCGCTCCTGAGAAATTTTTTTTTAAAATAAATATTTCCTAAATTATGTTTAACAGAGCAAGAAATTTTAACAGTGATTCTTCTATATATTTTTTTTCTTTTTGAGAGGCTTATTTGTTTTATTTTGGCTAGAAAAAAAGCAGGTTTAAATATTTTGAAACCCATTTTAAGGTCAATATTATTAGCCCCCTTATGCAATATATTTTATCATTGTATGCAGAAGGAACTACTGTTATACAATGAACTGCCTAATTACCCTAATTAAGCCTTTGAATCACACTTTGAATCTGAATGCTTGTATTTTGAAAAATATCTAATAAAATATTATGTGCTGTCATCATAACAAAGATAAAATAAACCAGTTATTAGAAATGAGTTATTAAAACTATTATGTTCAGAAATAAGTTGAAAAAAAAATCTTCTTTTCACTAAACAGAAATTGGGGTGGAAAAGGGTTACTAATATTCAGGAGAGCTAATAATTCTGACTTCAACTGCACACAGTTATTTTCCACCCTGCAAAGGAAAGAAATATAAATATGAAAAAACATGTGCTTTTAGCATCTTCAACAATTTAGCTACAAAAGTCCTTCAGTCTAGAGCAGTGAGGGATTTTCTGCTTTTGTTGTTTGATTTATGATAAACACAGGCGGCTGAAGGGATATTGCGCGCTGTCATTAATGGTTTTTCTTTCACGTGTTTTTTGATTCTCGACTCGTTTGTTTATTACACAAATGAGGGTTAATATGAAAAATCACTCCACACCCTGTTTTGACACCTATTTGACCATTAAAGTGCTCGCATTAAGATGACTTTAGATGTGTGCGCTCTGCTCGTCTAATGAGACTTGTGTGCGAATGAGACCGAATGCTGACCGCATGCTTCTGTGTGCACCGCACACACACACACTGAAGCATGCGGTCTTTCGCGCTTTTAAAAGCAACAAATGTGTACAACTGGAAAGGGGGTGGTATATGATGCAATAATCGTTTATCTCAATTAATGGTTTTTCATAATCGTTAGAAATCGATATCGGATTTTCGATTAATTGCACAGCCCTACTTTTTACTTCACTTGCATTTTTGCTGTACTGTATTTATCAATATTTGTCATTGGTTTATTATATTTTATCTAGATGCACTGCCCTCCAAATAGAGCTATTCCAGTCATGTGGAGAAATTGTACTCAAAATCTATTGCAAAAAAATACACACTATAGTGACGTACATCCAGTGGAAATGGTTCTGAAACGATAAATAAAATGTAGGACGGTGCATGATTTAGTTTTTTTGTAACTGATTGTGTTGATGAAAGATTAGCATTACTGTTAATCTAAATTATTAAAATCTTCAAAATGTTTTTTTTTTTTTTTCAATTTTGTATTTGTTTTATCCATTTTGTATTTGTAGGATATACTTATGTTGTCTTGTCTTTGAATCTTTGTTTTTTTCTCAGCTTTTCACAGATGGCACCACTAACAAGCTGGTGGGCTGTTATGTGGAGGATTGCGTAGAGGACGTGGTTCTGGTCCGGGTGTACGGCAACAAGACAGAGCTGATCGTGGACCGGGACAATGAACTGAAGAGCTTTCAGGTTCTGCATGCCAACGGTTGTGCGCCCAGACTTTACTGCACCTTCCAGAATGGCATCTGCTACGAGTTCATGCAAGGACGCGCTCTGGATACCCAAGACGTCAGGGACCCCGTGCTGCTCAGGTGAGTCTGTTCAGCACAAGACACGAATTAAAAGATCCAAATAGATGTTCGTTCTATAAATAACCTATTTGGTTGACTTCAGCGAGACTTTTGACATTAGCTTTTGGGTTTGAAGAGTGCTTCATTCTGAAAGTGGCGTCTGTTTTGGATTTTGTATCTATAATAGTGAAGTCTAAACTTCAGCTCTCTTAAAACTGATTTTGGTTCCAGAATCTTTTCTTGCAAGTGTATGAACTTTATTAGAACAGTTGAATATATATTATAAATAATATTTTTGATTGAATAAATGCAGACTTCTTTCAAAATATGTTTGAAAAATGTAATGGTTAAAGTTCTTTTTGATTGCTATAATGGCAAGGTTGAATTTTCTGCCTCCAATTTTTCACATTTCATTGTGAGGTGATCCTTCAGAAATCACTATAATTATAATAACCTTTATTTAACCAGGTACGTTAATTGAGAACCAGTTCTAATTTACAATGACGATCTGGCCAAGAGGCAACATAAAAAGCAAATATGAAGCTGTGAGGCGACAGCACTACCTACTGCGCCACTGTGTTGCCCTATTATTTGTTAAACTTTTTATTTAAAGAAAAGGAAAAGAAGGAACAAATTAACCAAAACAGGCAGAAAAAAACTGTTATCAGGTGTTGCATTATCCAATCACAATACATTCAATACACACTTATTTGCAATGGCATACTCCATTTATTCCTGTACTTGTCAAGGCTGAGTTATACTTACGTTTATGCTACGGTGCATCATACGCGTTGACGCATAGCCCTACACCGTCTGCGTTGCTGACGTGCACCTCTCAAAAAATGTAACTACACTTCGCAATTACGCGTATTGCAAGCTCTGTGATTTATCAGCTTGGTAGCGCTGGCGAGTCTGGGCGGGACCGCGAGCCAGATGGAGCGATTGTTTACAAGTGTGGAGTCCCGTGAAGGAGCTCCGCATGGAAAGTTTTGTTTTGTTTACTTTGTGATTAAAGTTGTTGCTCGTCCGTCAGTTCCTGCCTCAAAATGAGTGAGTTTGAGCCAGTTGTACATTTAAGGAAGCAAACATCAGCGAAGAAACTCGACACAGAGGAACATTAACACCTCACTGCCAACTAGTGTTTCGGAAGTGATATTGCAGAGCAACAGTAACAGCGCGCAGAAGTATAAATGCACAGCTACGCTCGTTGCATGCGCAGTGGGTCACGCCGATCATTTGGCACAGAAGTATAAAACAGGCTTCACATTTTTTGAATCACATCTTAAGTTAAACGTGAGTCTTTCATCTCCTTTTCCTATTCCCTACAATTCCTATTCATTAGGCCCTTGTTGGAGGATCGGCCTAAAATCATTTTTGAGTTATGGTTTTTCTGCTATTTGCTAAAAGTATTTGTATTAAGTATTTCTCATTGGCTAGAACAAGGCTATTTGGAAAGTATTTATTAAATTAAATTGATTGGGATAATTCCGTAGGGAATTTGATTATGCATAAAATTACAAACATGGATAAATAGAAAAGAGACAAAGACAAAGTGTGATAATAGCTGTGTTTTATGGTTTACAAGGCAGTCAAATAGTATTCCAGTACAGAATTAGAATTTTCACTGTAAAAAAATACTGCATAAGTCTTTACTGTATAAATAATTCAATAAAAGTATTGTTTATTAAAGAATACCATGTGCCTGAAATCTTTGAACCCTGACAAGCCTTAAAAAAATGTACAAATAATAAGCTTTCAGTCCATTATGGTTAAGCTCTGCAATAACTACACAATTCTCATGTATTCTGAACTGTTTCTCCTGGTCAACTATAATCATACCTGAACATTGCATATCCTGCGATGTGACTATTGCGAATATGCACATTGCGAAATCAATGTTGAAACGATTTACTGTGTTGTGCACCCCTAGCTCTAACTATTTCCGACATTTTCCCAAGGTATAATGAAATGCTTTAGTAACATCTTGAGCATGTTTTCAACAAGTGCTAAATAAATAAAACTACAATTCATGAACTGCTAAAATGTTTAGTATAGGATAAAAAGTACTTTGCAAGACATATTTAAAAAAGAAGGAACAAGAACAAACATGAGAAAAAATGCACCTATTTAAACTATATATTTAAATATTGAAGACTGTTCAGCCTGCAGTCTAAGCTAACCATGGAGATATGAAGTAAAGTTTACGCGCACTCAGACAGAACAGTGTATTTGCTTCACGAGGGTCATGTAATCTCCTTCCAGGCACACAGTGAACCATATCAAAAACTCCACCGTGACCTTGGACCAATATCCAATTTTTCCACATAAACAGGCATTTCCAGGCTTTGTGTCTGAGCTGAAATCGAAACATTGCCGTTTTGACCAACGTCTTCCTTTTGTTATTATTGGCAGACTGATCGCCCGTGAAATGGCTCGCATTCACGCCATCCACGCACACAACGGATGCATCCCCAAACCCAACCTGTGGATCAAAATGCGCAAGTACTTCTCACTAGTGGCCACAGAGTTCACAGAGCAAGCCTCCAACATCAGGTAAACCTTTCATTAACGAGTAGCCCTTTATTGAATGCTTATTTACAGGTCTCTTGCCAAAAAATACTTGAATCCAATGTCAAAATGGCACATTAATTTTCTTATAATGTACAATGATGCATTAGCTCTAAGCTCTTTTTTGCAGTGTCTGAAATGTTTCTTTAAATATTCAAGCCTATTTAAGCCATTTTTAAATAATTAGCTGTTTATTAATAAAAGTGGTATCAGTAAGGTAAAAGTTGGTTTTAGGTTTTGGGTAGGTTTAGAGATGCAGAATAAGTTAATAATTTATTACTACTAATGAACAGTTAATATCTTAATCATAGAGAGGTTACGTTTGATACCGTCTGACCCTAATAGCTTGTGTCGGAAACCTAATACTAATTACCATATCAAAATTCTTTAGCACTTGTAAACAGCGATATAAACAATAAACATGCACCTCCAAAGTCCTTAAAATCCTTGCAAATGCTTGAAAATTGAGAATTGTGTTGATTTTTCTCATGATTTACCTTTAGAAATGTTTTTGTTTTTAAATAAAATCTCTTTGCTTTTGCGAAAAATTAAAACTGGAGTTCGACGGAGTGTGTAGCTTGAATCGTGGGGAGGACATTACAGAGTTTCACAAATGTTTAACCAATTTGTGTTATTTTTTTCCAACTATTTCAGTGAGTCATTTGTATTGAGTCACTTAATTTATGACTGATTGAGCTGTTTTTGAATGTATCTGAATGAATTATTCAGTGACAAAGATAGAAAAAAAATTTAAGATTTAAAAAATGAAATTAATATATATGTAATATAATATATATATAATATTAATATATAATATAAGTGTAGGACATTTACAAGAGTAAATGGCAGTATTTCAGTGTTGATAATGGGCTTTGTGCAAACATGCTAATAAAAATATGGAAACCACACCCAAACACGGAGAGAACATGCAAACTCCACACCTAGATCCTAACTGGCCCAGGCAGGATTCAAACCAGCGACCTATTTGCTGTAAGGCGACAGTGATAACCACTAAGCCACCATGCCACCATTTTTATCTTGTATATTATTATTATTGTTGTTATTTATTTATTTTATTCTATGTATTATTTATTGCTTTTAATGACTTTTTATTGTTAACATATTTTTTATAATTATCAAAAAGTGATATTAAAAAAAATGTGATGAACTTTTTTTTTTTTAACAGTTAAAGAAGTTAATATAGCAATAAACACCAAACTCTCTTTCTGATATGTGTACTTTACATATTTAAATGTATGTAAACATGCCATTTACACCACGCCATGTCTTAAAATGCTGGAAAAGTAAAAAAATGCAACTGGAAATGCTTTAAAAGTGCTTAAAGTTGACTTGGGAAAATGTGTAAGAACACTGAAAGTCCTGATCCTTTGAACGTGCATGTCTTTTTGACACATCGACAACACAAACCATGCTTGATACTTCCATGTAGAAGTGTTAACTGGTGCTCTAGAAACATGATGGTCATTCTGCCCTCACGGTGTTCGCCCTTTCGCTGAAGAGAGTGATGAGCAGGGTGTGTGGGGGGTTTGGAAGGCGTGTGGACTAAATTTAAGAGGGGGGTGGACAATGCCACCCCTAGCAAGATGCCTCCCTGGGTGATCGTCCACATTGCCCATGCTTAAACTCTTAGATCAATACAGAGTAAAAAAGTCAAGAGCTTATCATTGTTATTGACATCATTTATCGCGATTCGATATCATTTTTAAATAAGTTTATCGGCCCAGTCCTATTTCCGAGTCTAATAGGATTCAGCTACAGTAATACAGTACAGAATAATAAAAATAAACATAATGCAATCAAATCAATGATTATTAAAGTTACAAATGGTACAATTTCTTATGCCTGAATGATCATTATACTATCACAGAACTCAAAAACACATGCAAATGATGAATTCTAATACAAACTCTTTCGTACACATTGCATATCCTGTGATGTGATTATTGCGAATGATCACTGTGCTGGATCATCTACTTAACTATAGCCCCTTTCACACAGTGATACCGGTAAATATCCGGAAACTTTCCGGAACGACTTTACCGGTATATTCAAAAAAGCGCTGTTCACACAGGTGAGGACGTTACGGAAATTTTCCGGAAAAGAGCATTCACACATCCATTCCAAAATACCGGTAAATTCTGACATCATTAACCACAAATGACCTCTAAACGGCTGCGCTTGTGTTTGTAAACATTTGACTACATTACAAACTCTTCGGATGGATCAGTATTGAGTACAACTCTAATGAAAACATAGGGAAACACTTTGATATGTGTGTGTGCTGGCGCTATGGGCGCTCACGGGCACACGCAAAGCTTGAAGGTAAACAAACAACGGCTTATAAACATTTTATCGATAATTATTTACACAGCATTAAGAAGGAACATAGAAACATTATCTGACTAACATCTAGCAGCTAAAGGTGTCTGGAAAAAATATTCAAAGGCTTTTATTCTCATAAACCACGCGCATGTGGATGCGTCTGACTGTTGTGATTGGCTAAAGCAGGTGTCTCACGTCAGCCCGTTCTAGACGTGGACGCGCTTATTACGGCAATCTTCCTTCTGCATTCACACAGCGCAGCATTCCGGCAAATTACCGGTAATGTTACAACTTCTCTTTCCAGAAAATAGCCAGAACGAATTTACCGGTATTTTCAAAAAGGGCCTGTTCACACATACAACCTTTCCGGAAAATTGCCGGTAATTTTCCGGAAAGGTCTGTATGTGTGAAAGGGGCTATTAATATTTAGAATCCATAAGTTAATGCCTAGTCATTTAGCTTCTTTCAAATTGTTGTTGCCATAGAAACATTCTAACAGTTAGAATCAGTTAATTGCCTCATTTAAAAAGAACACCCTACAGGAAGACACTTACTATCCACTCATCCTGTGATCATCTGTAGAAGCATTGCCTGTAACTTTATTATCTGTTTGTATTTATATTCTATCTCAAATATTATTGTTATGTACATAGAAAACTATAGCTCCTTTTATGTACATCTTGCAACATAGTTTCACTCTGTTTCAACATACATTCCATGTGGCATGGAATAAAGCAGCATTCTCCCACAATCTCACGTGTTGGAAAGAGTTTATCTGTCTGTCTAACTTTGGCAAGAGAGACGCCGGTGTGAGGGCAGAACAATCACATTGCGTTATCGATCCCAAAACGAGCCCTAAATTCTTTGGTAGGCAACAGTTTGTGCATTATGTTGTTTGAAACTAACTGTTCACAGCCCAATGAAAGGTGTTTCACAAGATCTGGCTTGCATTTGTTTAATCTTATGCGCAGAGATGTTATGTCACATACTCATCTCAGCAGTTTTCCTTTTTAAAGATGCTTGCTCTATACTGGCTGTTTGCATTGTGACGTTTATCGAGAGCCAGAGATCATGCACATGCAAAGTCATTTACGTCATTAGTTTCATAAGACTTTCTCGTGCGGAGATTATGCTGCTGCCTAATGTCTATTAGGATCATTTCATTCTGTAGTTTCCTGTTGATTTTTTTCAAAGCATAAACTTTGGCAAAATAAATAGCATTCAATAAATGATCAGATGAGTCTGAGAGGCAGCAGGGCTTTGAGTGAGTCTCTACAGGGTAAAGGAAGAGTCTAGAAATAACTCCTTAAGCCCATTATGAGGGGAGAGTGGTCAGTCGGATGGGGCTTTTTCATTGGTGGGACTTAACCATATTATCACCATCCTAATATCTCTTTTGTTAATCTATTTGTTGAGTTAAAAGCCAGATGTAGCGTTTTTATTGTTGATAACACTTATAGAATTTCATTTGTTAGTTACTATTTGTTCATTTTTATTAGTGCTGCACGGTATTGGAAAACTTTAACATTGCAATAGTTTGTAATATATATTGCAATATTAAGTTTTATTTCATCAGATGAATTAATATTTCTATTTGGAAGGAATTTATAATGTTAGATTAATTGGAAAGATCCTGTATCTGATTGAGGCATGCATAAAAAATATTGAATCTAATATACAATTAATCATTAATTAAACTTTATATCATTAAATGCTTTAAATATCCCCTGAAACTGCAAATGAAAAATGAAAATGGTAAATTATAATACAGACTCAACATCACATTCTGCGATGTGACTTGCGAATGAGCATCACAAAAATGATGACGAAGATTTTTCGTCAACAAAATTAACACCGGATTAAATGCACCTGAGCTAACATGAGTTAATATGGAATTAAGGAATTGTTGCATTGTTATTAATAAATGCTGAAACAAACATATTGGTCATTATTAATGCATTGACTAACATTACCAATTGAAGCCATCACTGCAAAGTGTTCATGCTTTTAGGATTGAAGGTGTTTTAATTGGAAATTTTATTAAAATGTTTGATTCAAAACTAATAGAGTTTTTAAGCTGTTCTGATGAGCTTACTAAGGGTGCTTTCACACCAACACTTTTGTTTCGGAACCGGTCTCGTTTGCCCAGGTAGAGCGGTTCGTTTGGCATATGTGAAACCAGCAATAGAATCCGCTAGAATCCGCCACAAATCAATCTCTCCGAGATCGCTTGAATGAGGTGGTCTCGGCTCAATTGAAACAAACTCTGGAGCGGAACGATTGCAGTGAGAAAGCGATACGATCCGAGCGTGGTTATATCACAGTGTTTTATGGATATGTAATAGGCATAAGGCTATATGAAGAGAGAATTATGAGAAGAGTCTCCCGGATGCCCGCAAACGAGTGATAATCTCCTGGTAATCGCGCGTCTCCCTCCCGGTCCTCAAATACGTCGTTCACCCTTCTCACCCCTCCCCACCGCATCTCTACTCGCTCTAGTGATGGGTCATTTTGAACGAATCTTAAATATGACTCAGAAACTGAGTCCTCTCAGGGAGTGATTCGTTCATCCGCGCGTGCGCACATTTGTGCTGGTAGTATCGTTATTTTCAAGTCTTCATCACATTGCCAGAAGCCAATCATACGCATTTAGAGCCGGAAAAAGAATTGATCCACTCCCCTCTCGAGTCCTCTATCGGGTCTGAGTCACTCGTTCATCACAGGCCAATCATATGCGTTTAGAGCCAGAAAAAGAATTGAACCGTTCATCTCTCGAGTCCTCAGGTTTGAGTCATTCTGTCACATAAACAACGAACGATCATGGCTCCTATCGGCTTAGACTTTTGCATTGATTAAGACTATATGTGACTGTCAGTGTAATGTGAATGAACCCCTGAAAATTGAAGACATGAAGAGGTGAGCTGAGCAAAGAGACAACAATGCCTTTATAGACAAAAGAGCAGGTAAACATTGAACTATTATTTTCTCTTTCTTATATTCTATTTATGACTTATTTGTCGTGCAATCAACCTTTTGGGCTAGTTGTAGATGTGTTTGGAAACAATTCGTAACATTTTAATAACATTTTGACAAATTGAACCAAATAAACGAAATGACTCGAAAAAAGATTCGTTTATCTTGATGAACGAGACTCAAAGATCCGAGTCAGTAAAATGATCCGAACTTCCCATCACTACCTTGCTCTTCAGACATGTTGTGCGCACTTTGTCAAACACCACCAAACCACCATCTCCCCTGACCGCTGAGCGGGACTCTGCAAAATATACCTGACCAATGTGAGGAGAGTTTACTCACACGTAATTAGTTTTAGCTCTTTTGGTTCAATTAGGAACTTTGCAGTGTGAAAGCGAACCGCACCAAGAGCAAAGTAACAATTTTAATTCCTGTTTCGGAACAAATGAATCGATTCACAGGTGTGAAAGCACCCTAATGTGATTAGTATTACTCATCATACTTCAGATTAGTGATTTGAACAGACCTGTAAACCTTATTGTAAAGTGTTAATTCTTTTGCTAGCGGAATGTTAAATACAAATGCAAATCAGTCTTGTGGCATTGTTCTTTTATCATACACTCTGTGTGTGTTTGTCTTTCACATTACTAATCTCTCATTTCTGTGGTCTTTAAACTAGAATTCAGCAAGAAGTGCCCAGCCAGGAAGTGCTGGAGCAGGAAATGATGTGGATGAAGGAGCACCTGTCTCAGCTGGGCTCGCCTGTGGTGCTCTGTCACAATGACCTGCTCTGCAAGAACATCATTCACAATGCAAAAGAAGGTGAGTTTTGTTAATCATGACAACATGAAAAAAAACTGGCCTTATTCACTTTCTATTAAACCTCATTGTTCTTTTTGTACCCCAAATAGTGTGTTATTATAAAGAACGAACCATTTCATTAGTTGCGTCCCAATTGACACACTATACACTATGCAAAACCTATTCAAAATTTAACCAGTTTACTAGTTGCCAAACTAGCAAATAGTACCTGTCATGAGCAGTGTTAGCCATGTTCCTTTAAAAAAGTAATTATTTATAGTTACTAGGGATGCACACTATAGTTTGCACACATTTACTGATTAGTAAATAGATACAATCATAAAACTATAAGACACAAAATACTTAAAAGTGTAGTTGTTGCTTTTATAATCATTTTTTATCAATATTTGTGACGATATTTAACTACTTAAATAAAATAATAAATAATATGAATTAGCATATAATGAAAACTTTGAGGTCTGTGCTTTTGCCTGTATATGGAGTGAGTCTTTTTTTTTTATCTGCGTCCTTAGCTTAAACTGGCAGAGGATGCATGGGGATTATTACTTCATGAGTGAACAATGCATGAAATTAAAATTGAATATTAATTTAAGATGAAAGATGAGACATTTAGGGTGTGTATTACATGAGCAAATTACATTTAAGAGAGTATATGAATATAAATGTTTAACATTACACACTTCTATTTAGCAGATGAATAATTACGTCATACTAGTATTTAAAGTGCGGCTATTTTCTTTTTAGGATTAACTGCTTTACTTGCACTACTTACAGTACGAGATTCCACAGAATACTGTATCTGTATGTGATTTGGGATCTTTTCTGTGACTCTGAAACAAATTTTTTGGTTCTGTTTGTGTAACTAAATTCACGTGGGTGAGAATAATATTAATAATGACCCACTTTTTATGATTCATTCAGTTCCCAGAAGTTGTATTTTTATTTTGTTTCGATGCTCTTTTATGCTCAGCAAAGCTCTGGTGATTGATTAAAAATGCTGTAAAAAAAGCAGTAATATTGTGAAATGTTTGAAAAAAGGCTTCAGTGTCATGCAATTCTTGAGAAATCATTTGTTTATGCTGATTCTGTGTTCCAGAATAATGACTTATTGCTATTGTTATGATAAGGATTTTTGTGAGAATTCTTCAACAGAGAAGAAGAGGCTTCTACTTTCACTTCTGATCAGTTTAATGCATCCTTTTAACAAATCTTTAAAAAGCAAAACACTTGTGATTTTATAAGGTGTTTACAGTTTTCATTTGATGCATTAAGTTTGCTATTACATTTTAAGGCATTAGATTTTGTTTCAGAAGGCACTTGAATCTCATATTGGGTCTTATTTACTTCAAATCACCCATTTTCTTTTTCCAGGTCATGTTCGATTTATCGACTATGAATACTCAAGTTACAATTACCAAGCATTTGACATTGGAAACCATTTCAATGAATTTGCAGGTGAGCAGCATGAAAAATATCACTTATAAAAATAATGTTTTGCACTGCTGTTTGTGTGTGTACGTGTGTATGTGTTTTTGTGACGTGTCAGGACACAATTCTGTATAATGACATGGGTATGACATGGGTATTGCAGAAAGGTTATGAGGACATTGCTGATGTCCTCGTTTTTCAGAAAGCTTATAAATCACACAGAATGAGTTTTTTCAGAAAGTAAAACTACACATTTCCTGTGAGGGTTGGGTAAGGGTAATACAAAATACAGTTTGTACAGAATAAAAACAATGGAAACTTATGTAATGTCCCCACAATTCACAAAAACAAACGTGTGTTCGTGTGTGCGTGCGCGCGTGTGTGTGTGTTTGTATATACTGTACATACAGCAGGTAAAATAAGTATTGGAACACGTCATGATTTGTCCTGGTAATCATATTTTTTAGAGGAGCTGCTGATTTGAAAATGACCCAGATTTTGGTAAAAACCCAACCAATCCAAACATACAAATAAACCCGAACCAACAAAAAAAATTGTTATGTGTATTAACAAATAATTGACTAAAGGAAAAAGTACTGAGCTACTATATTTTATAATTTGCACAAAAGGTTTTTTGGTAATGACAGGAGAGGGATCGTGGAGAATGAAGATAAGTTTTGTTTATTTATGTTTTCCCAGACTTCAACAGTCTAAAATCTTCACAATTCTGTGGGTCTCATCTATGAATTCTGAGATTTAGATTTTATGTTCTATGGCAGTGGTTCTCAAACTGTGGTAGTGGTACACGGGCTTACTACTAGTGGTATGCAGAGGAATCTCTGAGTAATGAAAGAAAAAATCAATACAATTTTAATAATTTTATGCATAAAATAACACCAATGTGATCAGCATTGGCTGTTCTCTAAAACTTATGATCAAAGCGATGCTTTAAAAATGTTTACTTTTGTGCATCGTGTCATCAGCTGCTAAAAATCAATTCAATTGCCGCAGAATTAGAGAAAGAGGTGCGCGGTGCTTGCAGAGCAGATATGTGCTAGAGCAGGGGTCCCCAACCCCCGGGGCCACAGACTAGCACCGGTTTACAGATCAATTGGTACCCAGCCGCACCAAAAATCATGAATTATTTCAGTTTTATTTATATTTTTATATTCAGTTTTAGTCTGAACGATCAATTACTTTGAAAAATCTTTTATTTTCCAAAAATGACCGTGTTCTCTTGTTACAACTCGGTCACTTGAGTGCCAAAATTCAACCCTCAGGCTAGCAAAATTAGTAAGAACTGCAGCACAACGCGCTTGCATATTCCAGGCGTCCCCAGATAAAAACCTATCAACTTTTCAGAATGCCTCACTGCGAGTCACGTGACAAAAACCCACTGATCGGCTTCATATTTTGTATGGAATATAATTTTGTTGAATGAATATGACTCTATCTTGTTTTCAAACTGTGCAGTGCCGTGGCTGCTTAATTTTGCCAACTACGCTACTTTATTTCAATACTGTTGATTATGGTGGTACTTGGAGAGACAATTGTTTTCTGAGGTGGTACTTTGAGAACCACTGTTCTATAGGATTCTACGCCGGTGATTGACCGGGCCATTCTAGCAGCTTTATTTTCTTTTCTGAAACCAATTGCGTGTTTTCTTGGCTGTGTTTGGATCATTGTCCTGCTGACATTTCCATCTATATCATCTGTTACATAGTTGTTGGGACTGAAGTAGCTAATATTAATTTACTCTGACGAGGGGCAAGGCAAAGCAGGTTTATTTATATAGCACATTTCACATACAGTGGCAATTCAACGTGCCTTACATAAACAAGAATAAAAGAGACGAGTATAAGAAAATAAAAACAAATAATATAAAAACAGATTTAAATGTGTTTAAAAAGGTTATAAAAGAATGAAAAAGAAAAATCTGTCGGATGTAGCACAGTGTTCATTCAGTAAAGGCACAGCTGTCTAGATGTGTTTTCAGTCTTGATGTGAATGTGCCTAATGTTGGAGCACATCTGATCATTTCCGGAAGCGGATTTCAGCAGCGGGTGGCGCAGTAGCTGAAAGCTGATTCACCCTGCTTTGACTGAACTCTTGAAATTTCTAGTTTATTTGATCCTAAAGATCTGAGTGATCTGTTGGGTTTGTATTCAGTGAGTATATCTGTAATGTATTGAGCTCCTAGGCCATTTAGTGGTTTATAGACAAGTAATAATACATTAAAATCTATTCTGAATGGAACTGGGAGCCAATTTGAAGACCTGAGGTGTGATGTGCTCTGATTTTCTGCTTCTGGTCAGAATCCTGGCAGTAGCGTTCTGGATGAGCTGCGACTGTCTGACTGTCTTTTTGGGAAGGCCAGTGTTGAGCCTGTTACAGTAATCCACCCTGCTGCTGATAAAAGCATGAACAAGTTCAAGTCCTCGCTGGAAACAAAGCATAATTTATAAAGCATAACCTAATTCTTGCAATGTTTTTGAGATGATAGTTTGCTGATTTAGTTACTGCTTTGACATGGCTACTCAATCTCAGATCTGAAATATATATTTTTGTTGTTTGACCCTTAGAGCCGAGGTACGCGTTCACCTTGAGAACCTCATCTCTGTTCCCAAACGCAATGACTTCAGTTTTGTCTTTGTTTAACTGAAGAAAGTTTTGGCACATCCAACTGTTCATTTCATCTGTGCATTGGCAGAGGGTGTCAATGGAACTGAAGTCAGACAGTAAAGCTATAGATCTGAGTGCCATCAGCATAGCTGTGGTAGGAGATTTGGCTCTTGCTCATTATTTGGCTCAGAGGGAGCATATTAAGCTTGAACAGGGCAGGGTTGCTTTCTAAAAACTAAAGCTGCCTTTCCACAGCACACGACATTTGGACACGATTGTCGGAATACGCCCCCTTGTGGCAGCCGCACAGTATTTTCAGTGTTGTCGTGCACCACGGGGAAGAAGCTGATTCTCACGGTGTTTGAAATAAAGGAGGGCAAAAGCCTTTATTCTCTGTGCGTTTACATAGTTTAATGCATGAATGAATATTAGAAACTCATAGACCGCTAAAATATTGGAGGTAATGTGGAGACACAAATTAAATTAAATGTATATATTTTTATTACTTTCTTACTTACATTTATGAACAGAATTTTTTTTAATATAGACTTTTTATTATTCAAAACTCATATAAACTCATTTCTCATCTCATGTGCACGGATCTGCTTGGACAACACTGGAATACATCATATCCGGTTGGCAGGTTGCATACGGTCTAGTCGCAGGAGTTCAAATATTTCAACGGATCCGCAGCTCAAATCAGATTCGAATTTTCCGCATACAAAGATGATCGGAACTCAACACAGCTCCCGGACTGTTCTCCATTGGAAATGAATAACTTCTGGTCTGTCGCTTGTCGTTTGTTGTGTGCAGTGGAAAGGCGGTTTAAGAGACTTCAGCTACTGTCTGGACTTTCCATGCCTTTTTACACAATTTTTTTTAAGTGTTCGATACTTTTTTCCCCAGTTATTTAATTTTATTACTCATAACTTAATTTGTAAAGAAATTAGTCAACAGCAAAAAAGAAAACTTGTGAAACGTTCAGCTTATTTTACCATCTGCAAGTGTGTGTGTGTGTGTGTGTGTGTATGTATAAATGTATGTATGTGTATATATATGCCTATGTATATACTGTACTGTACACATACATGTGTATATTTATACTTGCATGTATGTTTGTTTGTGTTCTCTCTTCAGGAATGAGTGAACCAGACTATAACCTTTACCCCAGTAGAGAGATGCAGCTGGACTGGTTGCAAACGTACCTGCAGGCCTACAAGCTCTTCACCAAGAAAGGTGAAGATGTGAGCGAGCGTGAACTGGAGACGCTCTACGTACAAGTCAACAAGTTTGCTCTGGTGAGTCTTGCCCTGCACAGTGTTATGATAGTCGCCGGAGTTGATTTACATTTGTTTATTCCTGCAATATAATCTGTTTGCTTGATGATTCGTGTCAGTGATACTGTACATCTGTGTGTGGACTGAGCTGGAAGGGTTTGGTCTAAAGTTTTCGTTCTTCCGCTTTGGCAGGCCTCTCATTTCTTCTGGGGTTTCTGGGCCCTGATCCAAGCCAAGTACTCAACCATCGAGTTTGACTTCCTCGGGTAAGCAAACCTTTCATCTTTCTGATGGGGGAGGATTTATTTACACGCATAAAGATCTTTATCAGCTCTGACCGTGTTAAGAGAAATGACTATTAAATGCAGATAAAGTGTGCAGTAAGCTCTGACTAATGCCAATAACAGTAACCAGGAAGGTTTTAGTTCCTGTAGCTGCTTTTATAACCTAATGTAAAACTGTAAAAAACCCTTTAAATAAGTGAATGTTTTGCAAAACAATATATTTTATTCTATACTGTTAAAATTATTATGCTAATGTAAGATTTAGATGTTATATTAGAGGTGTATTTTTTATTTATTTAAATATATTCATTCATTCATTTTCTTGTCTGCTTAGTCCCTTTATTAATCCGGGGTCGCCACAGTGGAATGAACCACCAACTTATCCAGCACGTTTTTACACAGCGGATGACCTTTCAGCCACAACCCATCTCTGGGAAAAATTTAAATATATTGTAATTTTAAATGTAACATTAGAATTGTTTTATAAAAATCTATTAGAATGTTTTGCAAAACAGTATATATTATTATATACTGTTAAAATGATTATGCATTCCCAGTGATGTTTTTTATAAAAACATGCTGGATAAGTTGGCGGCTCATTCCGCTGTGGCAGCCCCAGATTAATAAAGGGACTAAGCCGAAAAGAAAATGAATGAATGAAAATGATTATGCTAATGAAAGATTTAATGTTGTGTTTGCTATTTTTTATGCATTTGATTGTAAATATTAGAGAGAATTTTTAATGTGAAATATTTAAAATTAATATAATTGTAGAATTATTTTATAAAACTGTTCAAAAAGTGTATATAATATTTCGCCAAAAAATGTATTTTAATATACTGTTAAAATGATTATGCTAATGAAACATAAAGAAAAAGTCAATGATGGTGTTGTTAAGACTTTCAGAAAAAGGACTGAGACTAATAGCAGCAGCCAGAAGAGAGAAAAACATCAAATTTACTGTCCTGCCCCCATACACACTGCATTACAAATGCCTTGCATAAGCAGAGATTCATTTTTTGTAATTTGATGCAAAGATGATATGATGCATTAATACATACACTCACCGGCCACTTTATTAGGTACAACTGTCCACCTGCTGGTTAACGCTTGTTTCTTATCAGCCAATCACATGGCGGCAACTCGATGCATTTAGGCATGTAGACATTGTCAAGACGATCTGCTGCAGTTCAAACTGAGCATCAGAATGGAGAGGAAAGGTGATTTAAGTGACTTTGAACTATTTCTGAAACTGCTGATGCACTGGGATTTTCACGCACAACCATCTCTAGGGTTTACAGAGAATGGTCTGAAAAAAAGAAATAATCCAGTGAGTGGCAGTTCTGTGGGCGCAAATGCTATTTTGATGGCAGAGGTCAGAGGAGAATGGCCAGACTGGTTCCAGCTGATAGAAAAGCAACAGTAACTTAAATAACCACTCGTGACAACCGAGTAATGCAGAAGAGCATCTCTGAACACACAATGCGTCCAACCTTGAGGCGGATGGGCTACAGCAGCAGAAGACCACACCAGGTGCCACTACTGTCAGCTAAGACAGCAAACTGAGGCTACAATTCGCACAGGCTCATCAAAATTAGAAAAACATCACCTGGTCTGATGAATCTCGATTTCTGCTGTGACATTCGGATGGTCGGGTCATAATTTGGCATCAACAACTCGAAAGCATGAATCCATCCTGCCTTGTATCAACGGTTCCGGCTGCTGGTGGTTGTGTAATGGTGTAGGGGATCTTTTTATTATTGAGTATTGAGTATGAGTATTGTTGCTGACAATGTTGTTGCTGACAATGCATGTTTGTTGAACATGACAATGAGTTCACTGTACTCAAATAGCCTCCACAGTCACCAGAGCTCAATCCAATAGAGCACCTTTGGGATGTGGTGGAACGGGAAATTCGCATCATTGATGTGCAGCCGACAAATCTGCAGCAACTGTGTGACGCTATCATGTCAATATTGAGCAAAATCTCTGAGGAATATCTCCAGTACCTTGTTGAATCTACGCCACGAAGAATTAAGGCAGTTCTGAAGGCAAAAGGGGGTCCAACCCGGCACTAGTAAGGAGTACCTAATAAAGTGGCCGGTGAAATGTTAAAAACTTTTAAGAATTTAAAAAAATTTGTGAAAAGTGTGCATTTCTTCGTGCATACATTTGGAAATTTTAGAAATATTTTTGTGTATATCAAAATATTATTATCCAAGTCCAAAGTTTGCTATCGAACAGAAAGAAACACACCAGACCTGAAATACATTAGAAATCTTTGACATAAAAAAACTAGTCCTAAAAGCAGTGTCTATTGTCTTTGCACCTTAAAAATACATTAAGCTGAATCAGTGTATGAATGCCTCAGTTGGAGGTTGAGGTCTTCTATGAAGCTCTCCCACATACTGCGCATGAATGGCTGTGGATTGGTCCTTCTGTTGCCAGTCAATAGGGTTTGTTTTCAAGAGTTGAAAAGTACATTTGATTTAGGACAAGTGAATTACACCCTCTGTGACTTTAGCAACATAAACCACACACTGAATCTTCAGGATTGTGGAGCTGAAACTTTACTTCAGTTATACTTTAGTTGTTGATATTTTATTTTTTTTTTGGGAAGGTTTGTGAGTTATATCATCCGTAGGCTGAGGATATTTTCGTAGGCATCGTGGTTCACTTTTATTAAACTGGCTCAAGTAATATATTCTGCAAACTTCCTACATTGCCAGTTTCTAAGCAACAGGTCGTGGCTCCTCTCAGGCTGCACCGCTTAACAACAAATCCCTGCCCGCGCACATCAGATCAGGAGGAATCTCACAGCCGGTTTGATAAATCAACCTCAATACATAAAGAAAACACAAATACTATTGATTTTATTAAAAGTCGTTGTGTATTTTGAAGTAGAAAGAAGATTACCAGGTGTTAGGGCTAAAATATAACAGAATTTCACAAAAGTACCTTGTCATATTTTTATTAGTGTTACATACTTTCTTTTTTTTATGTATTTACTAATATTATATGTAATCCAACATTGTGGCTCAGAAAATGCTAATATTCCTCAACTGATGCTTAACAGAGCAGGGAATTTTTCACAGTATTTCCATTATTATTTTTATACTTTGTTTAAAAAATGTTTAAAGTCAAATTAAAACCATTTAAAAACCCTTTTAAGGTTCATATAATCAGTGAAATACATAAACTGTAATTATGTATATATATATATATATATATATATATATATATATGTATATATATATATATATGTATATATATATATATGTATATATATATATATGTATATATATATATATATATATATATATATATATATATATATGTATATATATATATATATATATATATCAATGAAGTCAGAATTATTAGACCCCTTTTGATTTTTTTTTTCTCTTTTAAATATTTCCCATATGATTTTCAACAGAGCAAGGAAATTTTCACAGTATGTCTGATAATATTTTTTATTCTGGAGAAAGTCTTATTTGTTTTATTTCGGCTACAATGAAGGCAGTCAATAATTTTTTAAAAAACATTTTTGGGACAAAATTATTAGTACCTTTAAGCAAATTTTTTTTCAGATAATCTACGGAACAAACCATCGTTATACAATAACTTCCCTAATTACCCTAACCTGCCTAGTTCACCTTATTAACCCAGTTAAGCCTTTAAATGTCTCTTTAAGCTTTATAAAAGTGTCTTGAAAAATATTTAGTTAAATATTATTTACTGTCATCATGGCAAAGATAAAATATATCAGCTATTAGAAATTAGTTATTAAAACTATTATGCTTAGAAATGTGTGTGTGTGTGTGTTTCCTTTTGTACATGTTTTCATTTGTGTTGAATAGAGCAAAGAAACTCATAAAGGTTCAGACACAAATGAAGATAATTTGAGAAATGTTAAAAACCTGTAACCATTGACTTTCATACTATTTGTTTTTCAATTCAATTCAGCTTTATTTGTATAGCGCTTAGAAGTGTGTGTGTGTGTGTGTGTGTGTGTGTGTGTGTGTGTGTGTGTGTGTGTGTGTGTGTGTGTGTGTGTGTGTGTGTGTGTGTGTGTGTGTGTGTGTGTGTGTGTGTGTGTGTATATAGTTGATCACAGTTGTAAGAGCAACAAATAACAACTTTTAGTTGATCATTTGGAAAAGTAGCTAAATATAGATTTTCCCAGTGAATCATCTGTTGAACTGCATCCCAATCATCACAAATACTGCTGAAGACCTATTGGAACCCGCATAGACCCAAGATTTCTCAGAAATCAGTTAATATTAGTGAAGAAAAGAGATGGTTTGGGGTTACATTCAGTATGGGGGTCGTGCGAGTGGATGGCAACATCAACAGCCTGAGGTATCAAGACATTTGTGCTGCCCATTACATTACAAACCACAGGAGAGGGCAAATTCTTCAGCAGGATACCGCTCCTTCTCATACTTCAGCCTCCACAACAAAGTTCCTGAAAGCAAAGAAGGTCAAGATACTCCAGGATTGGCAAAGCTAGTCACCAGATATGAACAATATTAAGCATGTCTGCAGTAAGATGGAGGAGGCATTGAAGATGGGACTCTGAGAGTCCTGCAAGAACGCTTCCTTTGCCATTCCAGATGACTTTATTAATAAGTTATTTAAGTCTAAGCAAAGTCAGACCTTACTGTCCTGATTAAATAATAAATAATTAAGGTATGATCATATTATATTTTGGGAAAATAAGCGTAATCAAGAGGCCTTTGCCTTTAAATATAAGCCACTTCTAATACCAAATGATCAACTAGAAGTCAAGTTATTATTTGTTGTTCCTAAAACTTTTAGGAACTTTTAAAACAAGACTTTTATCAAGTATATCAGTTTTATATATCAGTTATGTTTGGGATAATTATGATGTCCTTAAATTGTAACATTAATAGTTACTGTTTTTTTCTGTCTAGCTATGCAGTGCTACGATTCAATCAGTACTTCAAGACCAAACCTGCAGTAATGGCCCTGGAGATTCCCAAATGATTCTTCAAGACTGAGAGGACATCGCTGCTATCGGTTGGCCTCATCTTTGACCATTTGACCACTGATTCAGAGGCCTTTCCGGTCAGGGGAGGGAATAGGGTACTGCAGGGGGGAGCACTAGCACCTCTTTTAATTGGTTGGCAAATTGTCTACCAAATCATAGCTCCACAAATTCTTTATTCCTTCTCATTTCTCTTTGGGATTTCACTCCTAGTTGATCAAAATTCCCAAGAAGTGAGTGCATTTTTATGTTTTAAATACACTTTATTTATTAACTGTTATGGGGCACTTAATTTGCACCAAAGTAGTCTGTTCTTGAAGCCGACTATGGGATTTCTTTTGTCATAGGTTTTGCAGTGTGAGAGCTATAGCAAACTTATGCAGAATGATTTGCTGTGAAGGAGGCCTGTAGTGATGTTTAGTCAGGATATATGTTGATACTGCAGGTGAAAAAAAAAAAAATAACCTCAGCCTGTGGCTTCATAATGCTTTTGTCAAACGGATGTGGCCCACCGCTCTCTATTGCAATGACCAAAACTCCCTTAAAAGGAACACTCCATTTTTTTGTAAATAGGCTAGTTTTACTAGTCCTCTAGAGTTAAACAGCTTTACCATTTTTATGCATTTATCCGATCTCCGGGTGCACTTTTAGCTTAGCTTAGCATAAATCATTGGATCTGATTAGACCATTAGCATCTCACCCCAAAACGAAAGGTTTTTGATTGTTTGCCTATTTAAAGCCTGACTCTTGTGTGGTTAGATTGTGTACTAAGAACAATGGAAATTAAAAAGTTGCTATTTTCATATTTTCATGTGCTGCTTAATAGCACTGCACCTGCTGCTGCCATGTTACAGCATCAAAATATAGTTCCTAGACATCTTGACTTGGAAAATAGCAACTTTTTTTATTTTATGTTGTTCTTAGTACATAATGTAGCTACAGAAGTCATGATTTAAATAGGAAAATTATCAATGACATTTTTTGAAATGCTAATGGTCTAATCCGATTCAGTGTTTTATGCTAAGCTAAGCTAAAAGTGCTCCCGCTAGTCCCAGAGATCGACTGAATGGATTCAAAAATGGTAAAACTCAACATTTTTAACTTTTAGTGACTTGAAATCAATCTATTTCCAAAAAAACGTGAAGCATTCCTGCTTTCCGATTTATCTCACAGCGCTGTAATCCTAAAGTTGCTAATACAAAGTGTCCAGTTTCGAGCCAATCAGTGGTGACTCAAGAACTAGAAAGTTACTATGGTCAGAATCCTGCACTATTACGCACTTGAGCAAATGACTATTAGTAACGGCAAGTAACCAAGTAACCATTTAATCTGACCTCCCTCCCAACATTCCCAAGATGTCGAGACCCTAGAGCATCTAGGACCATGTTTCCGCCTGTTTAGCCTTTATGGTTGCGACTTTTGTTGAATTTTCCACTCATCACGCACAGGCTATGGAACATTACCACCTGCTTCATCTCTCACTCCTGTCCTGAATGCATTTGCATCACCTGGCAGAGCTTAAACGGAGATTTGAAAGTTATTATATGCTCAACGATCATTAAGCTCTTTTCTAATTTCAGACCCCCCCTTAAACAACAATGTAATGGATTTTCCAAATGTGCAAAAGGGGGCAGTTTTTATGTAACAGTGTTGTGTGGTTTGATTCAGGTCACCATCTGTGAGGAGGACTCAATGTCCTGGAGCCGAAAAGATAAGATTATTTAAGTGATTGCCATCTCACTGGAGAAAGTCCTTAAAGGGATAGTTCGCGCAATAATTAATTTTACTCACTTTCATGTTTAAAAACTAGTCATTTTTATTTTATTATTTTTGATTGTTGTTTAGCATTACAGAAGACATTTTGAATAATATTGGTAGTCGGTAAGCATTGACATCTATAGTAGGGGGGAAAATGGGGTTTACAAGTTCCAACATTTTTCAAAGTATCTTTTTTTGTTTTTGAGTAAATGATATTGTTTGAACTGTCCCTTTAAATACATTGATTGCTGTATGTAAAGGTTTCTAAGGGTCCACTTTCAAAAGTAATTGATTTTTTTTAGTTTCTTCTAAAAATGCTTCATTTAAATAGCATTTAATTTAATGTTGTATTTATTAAGCTTTTGCCATAAAATCCTGCCTGAGCGTTTCAAAAAAAACTTGCTAGACACCTCTGAAGCATAAAAGTCATGCATTTGTCATGCATATCAAAAAACAACTCAAAATGCACCATTTTTAGTCACTTTAACTGTAGGATTATACTGTTCATTTAGATGACATTTGGGGGAATCTTTAAAGAACATCGTGGTCTGAAAATAAAATGTAGGCAAATATTCCAAAAACATCATTAAGATTAATGGCGTTACAGCATTAGTTTCATGAATATTATGCATGTTTTTTTCAAATTACTGTATTGCAGTATTATCATTTAATGCAAGTACTTGAGTAAAATGAGATTTGCAAAACAAAAAGTCTTGAATTTCGGGACGATAAAGAGCTAAATTATCATAAAAATTTACAGTTGCAAAAGGTCTTAAAGGGATAGCTCTTGCAAAAATGTATATTTTTGCTGTTAATTTACTCACCCTTATGTCATACAAGATGTAGGTGACAGTAGCTCAGTGGAACCCAGTGGAAAGTAGTTTTAGCGGCACTTTAAGAGTTAATATTACAAGCAAAAATTATTTAATAGCTCACTGTGAAAAAAAGTTGACTCAACTTAAAATTGAAAAGCAACCTGCTGCAGAGCTTTTTGAGTTGACTGAACTTAAAATTGAAAAGCAACCTGCTGCAGAGCTTTGAGTTAACTCAACTAAAACATAAAAGACAACTCGCTGCAGAGCTTTTTAAGTTGACTCAACTTAAATCCAGTCAAGTGCAGTGCTTGGGTTAAAAGTGGAGTACTCAAAAAGCTGTGCAGCAAGTTGCTTTACAATTTTAAGTTGAGTCAACTTTAGTTCACACAATATTTAATTTTTTAAGTTTAGTTTGGTTATGTTTGCTGTTTTTGTAAGGAATAACAGAAGATATTTGGAAGAAATCAGTTACAATTGTAGGAAAATCGCACTAATCCAGTTAATACAAGCACAGATTATCTAATACCTCATTGTCAAAAAAAAAATTGTTAGGCAACTTGCTGCGGAGCTTTTTAGGTTGACTCAATTTAAATCCAGTTAAGTGCAGTACTTGTGTTAAAAGTTGAGTCAACTCAAAAAAGCTGTGCTGCAAGTTCCCTTGCAATTTTAAGTCGAGTCAACTTTTTTTTATTTACAATGCTATTGAAAATTCATTGAGGTTTGTAAAGTGAAACCACATCGGCTCAATGCTGAGGCTAAGGAATAAAGGGAAAACTCTTGTAAATACTGATCTAAAAAAACTGATCTTTTCAGTGCATCATGAATTAAAAAGATATTTAAATCACTCAAAAATGAAAAATTCCTCATTTACTCACTCAAGTGGTTTTAAACAATAATTTCCTTCTTTTGTTGAACAAAAGAAGATATTGTGAAGAATGTTGGAAAAAACAGCCATTGACTCCTATATTGAAATAAAAATGCTTTGGAAGTCAATAGCTGCTGCTTTCCAACATTCTTCACAATATCTTATTTAGTGTTCAACAGAAGAAAGAAACAGATTTGTAACAAGTGGACGATGAGTAAATATGACAGAATGTTCATTTTGGAGTGAACTATCCCTTTAATTCAGTTTTGCCTGTTAGTTTTTTGACCCAATGAGTTGCATTTTATGAAGCACAAATGACACGTTTTATCAAAAAATAACATAGATTCCTAAGAGAAATTAACATCAACAGTTAATTACCCCCCCCCCCCCCCCCCCAAACCCCATAGAATTTCATATGCTAAATTTAGTCTCTTCATTATTTTACTTTAACACCAAGACCTGAACGTGCTTTTTGCAAGATTTCCTCCTCCGACTGCATTGGTGTGGCTTCATCGTCTCTCTGGCAGCTTCTTGAACCCAAGTGTCCTTTAACTGACCGAGCAGATCAGTCCCTGATCAATTAGGACAGCAGTCGTTTCTAGAAGGTCTTGAAACTGAAGCTCGTTGCGTTTGGGTCACGGTGAAATCTCTGAGGTGTCTCTGGCTGCGTGTCAGACGCAGGTTAATAATGAAACGCTTTGAGCTGCAGGCGACGACTGAAAGCAAGAGGCCCTTCAACCAAACCATCAATAATTTCGTAGCCAGTGTTTCTCTAATGAGTTGGAACTGCATGAGAGCTTTGTTCTGCTTGCGTTCACTTGTTAGATATAAAACTTGATTAGCTTTAAGTTATAAGCTGAATCTTGTGAATATAGTTCCAGGTCATATTTCAGACCAACGTTCTGTTTTACTTAAAGGGATTGTTCACCTCCTCATTTACCCCTTTTTTTTTACAAACTTGTTTGAGTTTCTTTTTTTCTGTTGAACACAAATGTAGATATTTTGAGAAATGTTAGAAACATGTAACCACTGACTTTCATGTTATTTGTTTTTACTACTATGAAAGTCAATGGTGACAGGTTTCGGTTTATTTGTTCTGTTAAACACAAATGAAGATATTATGAGGAATGTTAGAAACCTGTAACCATTGACTTCTGTAGTAAGAAAAACAAACACTATAAAAGTCAATGGTTACAGGTTTGTCTAATTTCTCAAATTATCTTCATTTGTGTTTAACAGAATAAAGAAACTCATGAAGGTTTAGACACGAATGAAGATATTCTGAGAAATGTTAGAAACCTGTAACCATTGACTTTTATAGTGTTTGTTTTTCCTACTATGGATGTCAATGGTTACAGGTTTCTATCATTTCATAAAATATCTTCATTTTTGTTTAACAGAACAAATAAACTCATAAAGGTTCAGACACAAAGTAAGATATTTTGAGAAATGTTTGAAAAATCTGTAATCATTGACTTTTATGTTATATGTTTTCCTACTATGGAAGTCAATGGTTACAGGTTTCTGTTTATTAGTTCTGTTAAACACGAAGATATTTTGAGAAATGTTAGAAACCTGTAACCTTTGACTTTCATGTTATTTGTTTTTTCTTCTGTGGAAGTCAATGGATACAGGTTTCTAACATTTCTCAAAATATCTTCATTTGTGTTTAACAGAACAAAGAAACTCATGAAGGTTTCCACACAACTGAAGATATTTTGAGAAATGTTAGAAACCTGTAACTGTTGACTTTCAAAGTGCTTGTTTTTTCCTACTATGGATGTCAATGGTTACAGGTTTCTGTTTTTTGTTCTGTTAAACACAAATGAAGATATTTTGAGAAATGTTA